ACACACAACACACACACACACACACACACACACACACACACACACACACACACACACTCAGTGTTTTGTGGTGACAAGCCTCATTTGTCCTCTGTTGAATTCTTTTTCTGTTTACTCAACTTTCCATTGTGAATAACATCCACTAATCTTAGTCAGTCACGTTAGGTCTTCCTGTGTTTGATATCTTTGGTCCAAAATCACAGATTTGTTTATTTTACATTACAGAGAGTCCTGGCAGTATTTGGAAATGAAAGAAGATAAAGGGTTTTAGTAAGCAATGTTTTCATAATTGGTGATTGTATCCAACTTAACCTCTTAAAGGAAGGTACAACCTTTGAAGGAGTGTATCTTGAATTTTAAATTCCATTTTCCTAATGGCCAAGTCTTTTGGACGAACAGGTTATAAGTCATTCTATAATTGGTGGCACCGTTGACATAAACACAATAGTAAATAAGTAATGGCTTTGTACATAAAGCAAACCATAGAAACCAACGCAAAGCTTTAAGAATTTGGGTATTTTAAGGGAAACGATATTTACCCAGTGATCCAAGTAGGGTCACATCAACTTGGCCGTACTTTGGGAAACTTAGTTAAACAGGTAAGATAGTTGACATCTTCCCTATTTTAGCCCATTTCAATGCATGGCATTGTTCGATTTATATTCTCCTTGACAATACACTATTAAAGATAACATGTTTAAAAAAACGAGAGGACACTAACTAGTATGCATTGAAAATGGCTGCCACTGAGATCCATCATGTGACGCAGGTCATATGGTTTCGGAACAAACCATTTTTTTGTTGCAAGGGGATATTCTTTTTGATTTTTTCTGACAACAAATAGGAACGCCATGTTTTTTTATTGCAATGTGTGCAAACATTTTGATTTAAACTTTTTTCAGTTTACTAGCTGATCTGATGACTCAAGAGAGCCATTTCAATAATATCGCAAAAGTTAATTCTACGACACCACCTATCAACCAATGTTATTTTTATCCTGTCTGATTAAATACAAATTAAAAGGGGAATGATCATTTATACTAACAAGCCTCAACTTAAACGGCTCCACTTCAGTTTAATGACACCTTTATTTTTAAACAGGAAGAATTATTTAAATAGCTGTGACTGGAAATCATGGTCCCAGATGAGAAGGAGTTCAGATTAAACACATTTAAAGAACTTGAAACTGCTTTCTGCAAATGTTTGGATCTTAGAAGAGCCTTCAGTCTGTGGAGAAAAGTCATGCTTAAGAGAAGGGATTGGGACATTTCGACAGACATAAAAGAACCCAAGCAACACACATAAACAAATACAAATATCTTAAAGAGAGACTTCCGTTCTTAGTTTATTGTTTGTGTAAAACGGACAGAAGGTAGATGAAGTGCTGAACTTCCTGAATTCACTCTGCAGTGACCTCGGGCTGTGGGAATGGGGAATTTAGCAGATGCCTGAGTTCAATTCCCCACAGGGTTGTGGCCGTAATGAATCTCCACCGTCCTCATTCTTCTTCTTCTATACACATACTGTATGACTTAATAAACTAGACAGGGTATCTGCAGGTCTTATGAAGGACAATCTTCTTCTAAAAAGGCATTTCCTTTTCAAAATGTGTAAATATTATAGGCATATGCGGTCATGTTGTATAACAGGCCTGTAGCTAACACTGTTAATACAGCCCGCTCGTTATAAAGCAATTATGTAATGAAGGGCTAGTGTTGAGTTTGGCAGAAAACTTTATTTTGAATTGGTCAATCATCCATTCACGTTTACTGCCACTTTCGCAATTCCAGGTTGCATTTATTTAAATAATTATATCATCAGGGCCTGCTTTATGCACTGTTGGTAAGTAGTAAAATAAAGTTTATCATAATAAATAGTTCTAGGCCATTTTGTCCTCTCTGGTTTAAAAGACACTTTGGAAAGTATGATCATGACATTGAATATTCACTCATGGTGACATTTAACTAAGTGAACCCTGCAGAAACCATGCTAGAAAGCCTTATTTATGTTGTTTCAGCTCACACTGTTCGTGTCTTTCTTAATCCCCCGCTGAGCACTAATATCTAGCTGGCACAGACCCATGAAGCTGTCACATGTGAAATAGTGCAATCCTCTCTTTGGCCACCACAGCCATAAAGCATGCGGTCGCCAGTCTGGTTGGGCAAGATAAACAAATCTGGTGACTTTCTAGACCACTGGTCATGTATCATAGAGCACAGTGGCGAGCCGTGACTTTTATACCTAGGCCCTCTGGCAGCCTGGGAGAGAAGGATTGGATTTTAGAAAAGAAGGAAACTTAAACAGCTTTGGTTTTTTCTATAATTATTTTCTTTAAGTATGGTTTTTGGGCTTTAATTGTGTTAATTGCATCGAGTTAGAGAGCAGATTTAGCTGCAAGGAAGCATTATCTGATCCGAACATGTTGAAATAATTGGGTTTAAGAATAGAAGCAAACCAAAACAGCCTGGTTTTAAATCCAACCATATTTTTTGGTGACTTGTGTCATGTAACTCAGTTTTGCAATATAGAGAGCAGATTTAGCTGCGAGGAAGAATGCATCTTTGTGATGAGATTGTGCAATAGCTGATCCAAAGATCCACCCCCCATAAATCCCCGCTGCACACACAACCATGAGCTCCTTTCCTTTATGTCCCACAGACATGCTCTCTGGTGATGCACATTCTCCTCTCATGTGGAAAACTGAATTCATGAATGTAGGTCAATGCCACTGACTACTCCACACGCCTCCTCGCTGGAACAGACTGAAGGTGCTGTTCATGCTTTCCCAGACTTCTGCCATGAATTCCATACAAAATCTAAGGCATGAACTGACATATAGAGTTAATGCATACAACGTGCAGTGGATACATTAAAGACAGAACAACTAGCCTGTCCAAACTAGTACTGCTAGCTAGCTTATACATGTCTAAAGTCAGTATTCTTCCTGGTATGGAGATTACATTACATTACATTACATTGCATTGCATTTAGCTGACGCTTTTATCCAAAGCGACTTACAATAAGTACATTCGACCAGGAAGACATAACCTTGAAGAAAACAGAATCATATAAGTACATCAGGTTTCATAGAGCCAAACATTTCAAGTGCTACTCAACTGGCTTTAGATAAGCCAGTCCTTTATTAGTATATAAGTGCTTTGTTAATAAATCTATCGCTCGAAGTGGAGTCGAAAGAGATGAGTTTTCAGTTTGCGCCGGAAGATGTGCAAGCTATCTGCTGTCCTGATGTCAATGGGGAGCTCATTCCACCATCTTGGAGCCAGGACAGCAAACCCACGTGTTTTTGCTGATGGGAACTTGGGTCCCCCTCGCAGCGAGGGTGCAGCGAGTCGTTTGGCTGATGCAGAGCGTAGTGCACGCGCTGGGGTGTACGGTTTAACCATGTCCTGGATATACGAAGGGCCAGATCCATTCGCAGCATGGTACGCAAGTACCAGTGTCTTGAAGTGGATTCTAGCAGTTACCGGAAGCCAGTGAAGGGAGCGGAGGAGCGGAGTGGTGTGGGAACATTTAGGAAGGTTGAAGACCAGACGAGCCGCTGCATTCTGGGTGAGCTGCAGAGGTCGGATGGCACATGCAGGTAGACCAGCCAGGAGGGAGTTGCAGTAGTCTAGGCGTGAGATGACGAGAGCCTGGACCAGAACCTGCGTTGCTTTCTGTGTCAGCTGGGGACGTATCTTCCTGATGTTGTAAAGCGTGTATCTGCAGCAACGGGTTGTAGCAGCGATGTTTGCAGTGAAGGTTGTTATCTAGGGTCACACCCAGATTCCTTGCAGTCTGAGTCGGGGAAACAACTGAGGTGCCGATGTTGATTGAGAGATCAGCTCGTATGAGACAGACTCTCTAATCTGGTGGGAAATGCAGCAGAGCGACATGCCATTAGGCTGCTATGTACGTCATTCAGTCTGTGTGAATGTGGTTACAACTTTTTCTGCATCAAACTGAAACTAAACATTTAAGTATGCAATGAAACAAAAAGTAATTGTGTGGTTTGTTCCCTGCTTTACCTATAAAGTGTACAGCTTCACTGGAGTATAGGGGAAAAGTTATTTTTTACTGCTGACTTCCATGACGGAGATATTTGTATAGCATTACTGTAGCATTTTATTTCCCTTCCATATAGCTAGCACAACGTAAAGTAATCCAGACTCACCCAAAGCCAGAAGAGCAATCAAAATCTGAGACGGTTTTTAACTATAGTTATCTTTTATGACAAAATGTGCTTTACGGTTTTTATTTTTATAGTTTAATCAGAAGCACATTTTACAGCTTTTCACTGCCTCTATCATCGCTGCATTTTATTGGTACAAATGCATTTTTAGATTGTCTGAAAATAGTTTTTGGTGACTCTAAAGGCCAGTCCAACCCAAACACAACTAACCCGCTAAAAATGCCAGTAGCCAGATTGCAATAGTCACAATCCAGGACGTACAATGTCATAATAGGCACATTCACATGTATAGGATTTCTGCTGGTTACAAAAGGAAAGCATTTTCCATAACTAAGTTGAAAGAAAAGTCTGTCGGTAGTCATAATCTACTCCAAATGAAGGGTTGATAAATGTGTTGCCAGTGATTGACGCTGCATAAAGAGGACAAACCACCAATCTCAGTCATTCATGATCAATTTAACAAACAACTCAAGCAGGATATAAAAGCAAAACGAGCTGCATATCGAGGACACAATATTTGTCTGTGGGTGGAGGCAGACATCTAAGAGATGGATATCTCAAAAAGTTAAACAGAAAGTGAATCACCACATACCACCTACGATAACCTTTTCTGTTATTAACATTACGATGGCCTTAGCCTATATTCAATGCAATATGTGATGCAAGTCAAATTTCAGACTCGATCTGACCAATAAAGTATTATCGTTATCGTATCGTACTATACATCTACCAATATTGACACATAAGTGTTTTGTTTATAATATAAAATACTGTTTTTAAATTATATAACCTTTTAACCTTATCCCAGGTGCCTTCGCCAAGGTGAAGGAGAGCCAGCGGATGAGTGACGAGGGGAAGATGGACCAGGGCGAGGCCGATGGCATCAGGAAACGCTGCCGGACAGTTGGCTTTGCCCTGCAGGCGGAGATGAGCCACTTCCACCAGCAGCGAGAGGTGGACTTCAAACAGATGATGCAGGCCTACCTCACGGAGCAGATAGCCTTTTACCAGCGCGTTGTGCAGCAACTGGAGCGCACCCTGCGCATGTACGACGGTCTGTAGAGACACCAAACTGCTGCCTGGTTCAAGATGCCAAAAACTAGAGAAGAGAAGGAAAAAGGAAGATTTCGACTCTTATCAAGGCGGTTTGAGTGGTATTGGAAGAGTTGGAAAAGACTTGCAGATACATTAAGCAATAATTACTGGAATGACGTACTAAGCCAGTCTTTCACTTTGACGGATATAAAGTCAAAACATTTTGAGACCTACTGTACCTTTATATTTCTGAAATACACATCACATAGGCAATGTTGCAACATATTGTTTATTTTACATAATTTAAGGTGATTGTAACATTAAAATATGAATATAGGTTACAGATTTATACCTAATCTGTATTTTATTGTACAGTGTAACACCATGAAACGGGTTCTGTTTGTCCCCTTCTCTCCAACATCATGCACTTTGGATTCTCCTGGGACTGATTCATAGCTTCCAAAATGTACAATTATCAAGGAAAACTACTATAATATTCTGGTTCATTAACCACCATCAGAAAAACATTCCAGATGCTCTTCAATATAGCATTTTAGGATTTTATTGCAGTCACTGGCAATGAAAATATATCATTTTTGGCAAAATTACAATTACATTGGGAATGCACCTTCATCTCGCTCAGATGTTCACTGCAATTAAATGCATATAATTTTGTCTGGTATCTCGAGAAGTCACAAATATATATCTTAACTTTGCACCATGTGGAAGACTTACTGATATGATATTCAGTTTAATAGTTACAGGTTTAGTAATGTCATTTTTCTACGATTTTCATGCAGAAAGTGCCTTTACTTTATCCAAGGCATTCTGATGGAATATTTTTAAATGGACCATTTGTCTGTAGTATGGCTTGTGTTTTATAGGGGGAATTATTTCGAATGAGTTGCATTTAGTAAAACGTTTGCACATGTTTTTATACAGTAGTGGGTTATACTGTGGGGTGTGTGTTTATGTGTGGGTGAGTGAGTGAAATGAAATGAACTACTGTGCTGATCAATTGCCTTTTCCATCGTGTAACACAAAATGTTTGATATGTAGCAGAAGGTTTGCCTAGCCTACAAGTATGAACATTATCAGACAGTTGAGGTGAATGAACTGGTTGTGTGACGCAGACGATGGACTTAGCATTTAATTGCAATTTCCTGAGTTGTGTAGTCACAATATATCAGAGAACAGTGTTCCAACAATTATTTTAATTTGTCTGTCAACGAGTGAGGTTAACACACTGGTTATGCAGTCTATGGTCCGACTGATTGCCTTTGCATTTCCACTATTAAGAAACTGGGTGCGTGACATTTCACTGTTTGCTATTACTCAGCAGTGTTTGATATGCCAGAGGTTATAGGCAGAGCTAACACACCAAACACATTTTTCAACTCACCTGTGTGCGTGTGTACCAGCGTTGTGCTTTCCCCCGACTAGTGTGGCGGGTAGACGGTTAATATGGCTTAACAAACAGTCATGACAAAAAAAATGAAGCCCAAATAGTTACTTTATCAATAGTTTTACACAGTTTTGCAATAAATTACATGCGAAGATTGATACCACTCAAATGAATGGGCTATAAAGGTTTCAACTAGCAGGGGATTAGCTTAGTTTAGCTTATCATGAGGACTGGAAACAGGCTAGCAGCTAGACTGGCTGTGTCCAAAACTTGTCTCACTATTTAAAAAGGTCATATTTTGTATTTATTTAATATGTACGAAACCAAAGTGTAAAGCTTTAATTGGTTGTGTTATGTGTTAAACCACATTCTGGTTTCTGGTAGGCAGAATGAGTCAGCTGTTTCCAGTCTTTATGCTAAGCTAAGCTAACTAGCCACTGACTATAGCATTAAGTTGATCCTGCAGATATCAGGCAAAGTGCTTTCAATCTTTTCATCTTTCAGCAAGGAAAATAACACACATATTACCAACATTTTTGAGATATTCTTTTAATTATAGGCTATAGATAATATATCTTACTTCACTTCTTACAGCTACGATCATGTTGAAGTGTCACACTTTACATTTAGTTTTCCACACAGGATGAGTTATAAGTGACAGTAAGGATTCATTTTCTACTGTTTGTGTTTATTTCTTAATAACAGTTGTTCCACTAACATTACTCATCCTCTTTAACAAGAAAGAAAACAAATCATGGCAACTTTTGGGTTGACGAGACTATGTCAACCTAAGAGTTTAATGTGGAGTCTGCGTTGCATAATCAGCATTACCTCGAGAAGTGAAGGAAGTGTTTTCTTGTGAGCTTAACACGCTTCTCCAAGAGCAATTTCCAGTGTTTATTCCTCAGCTGATTATTCATTTTGATGGAAGAGGGTTGGATCTGTCAGTGGTGTGGATGAAAGGTGAAATGAAAAAGGATTTTCTGACATCTCTGCCTGGTGTTTATGAGTGTCAGAATGTGAGTTTCAAGCCTTATTATGGTTCTGCCACAACAAAGAAGTGCTGATCAGTGCAGGTTTCAGTAAACAAATGTGCCTGTGTGTGAGAGTGTGTGCGTGACTCAGATATGAGTGTCTCAGTTACTGGTACTGTTCAGCCCACATCTGCAGCCTTTAACGCTTTGCTGTCTGAATCGGGTGTTGTTTATGTCTATTTTTGAACAAACATTTCCTTTTCTTACTTCAGCATTTCTATTTTATTTCTGTCAGCAATTGCGCTCAATTGCAGTTTCTCCGAGACCAAAGAAGTCAGACATGTTCTGCTTCCTTTTTTACTTTGTTAGGTTAAAGTAAAATCTAATGTGCTGTCTGGTTTTGTAATTGAATCCGTTCTACTCTGAGGAAAATGTGAAGAGAGAATTTGGAATATCTAACAAAAACACATTCCATGAAGAAACTTTAGGACAGCGCAGAAAAAGACAGATTTTGGGCAAAAGAAAGAAATGCAAGGTGAAAAAGGAAAAGGGTGAAAATCATTAAAGAAGTGCTTGAAACCCTAATGAGACTTTTCTCTCATGTTCTAGAGCTGCATGATAAGTTAAATGCTAGGTATTTCACAGAGGGGACTGTTTCTTAACATGAATGTGTGAGCGGGTGAGGTGCAGGAACTCTATGCTTCAGCTTCAATCTCTGAAATAACAGATGGTGTTTTTCCGTAAGTAATTTGTCCCTTGATTTAAGGGAAGGGGACCGAAAAATGTTAATAAAAGCAATGAGGCTGAACTCTCTCTCTTCTTTGTGGATTTGTGCAGCAATGTTGTGAGTTGGTTTCCATGCATACATTATATAGACTACTCAAGTATTCTGGTTTATATATGAACATGTGAACATCATATTTTATTAACACCCATATAATGCATTTCTTAAGTAGTAATTTACAAAGAGAACATTGAGGAAAAACTGGGACACTAATCCTTGTAGTCACTTAATCCAATGATTCGTTATTTTCTCTGTTGTGGTGTTTTTTCATGCAGTTTTTCCACCCATGCTCAGGATGTGATGACACACACACACAAACAGTTTGTCCTGAATATAACCAAAGCAAGGAACCCAGGAGCTGTTATCCAAATTTCTGTTTAAACGTAAACACACTGACGCAGTCATGTTATACTAAAATAATTGAGACACAAAGAAATATGCTCAGGTTTTGCTGGAAATGTGAATACTTAAGATTAAATTCAAGTTCAAGAGTCGGCAATCTGTTAGGTCTATTATCTGCAGCAGAAAGTGTTACCGTGTTTTTAACCATGGCAACACTGTGGCTGGCATCATTTTTTCAGACTAATATCTCAACAACTGTTAGATGGATTGCCATACAGTTTTGTGCAGACATTCATGATCCCCACTGGCAGAAGCAGACTGATGCTAAGTGATCGTCTGGCTTTTCCTACAGTGCCACCAGAGAGGTTACTAGACTAGAAAACTACTGGTGGGATTTTTGTGACTTGAGCTTATATATTACAAATATTTAAATGGATGAATTAGACTCACTTTGAACTCTCAACTACTCCCTCACAGATATGCGAGTATGACTGTCATGTTTCATATTTATGCTGTTTTAGGCATTTGTGCTAAAAAAATATTTTTGATGAAAAAATGCCACACTTGTCAGATTGGTATGGACATAGTTTGGGCAACTGGTTCAACTCTGCAGGAAAATCGCTCACATTATTTTAATTGTTCAATAATTGAAACCATTTTTTCTTTTTTGAATTCCACATTTTTGGGGTAACTTACGAGAAAGCATCTTCTAAAAAAGACACAATCCCTGTTGTTTAGCTGAATGTCTCTGAATAAGGCCAGTCTGATATTAACTTTTAGTCTAAGAACATTTAATTGGAAGTTTCCTAATATAAGTGAGGCCTTCCTGCTGGGTTAATGCTTGGAGACAGTCAGCTGATGAATGCCAAACTGGAGCCATGTACATAAAGAGAAACTCCGACCTTCCCCTTTAATGTGATCCAGATGTTTCGGAGGCAAACATTTCATTTGGACAGCTCAAATCATCAGCGATGTTGTTAAAGTGAATTAGGTGTGTTGGCATAAATCTTAATTATATTGAGCTCCTACTATTTTAACATTGTGTTCCTTTAAAGTGATAGTTCCTCTCTTGTGTTGACATGAAATAGATGCTTAATGAGGACACATTTGCTCCACTCTTTGTCAAGAACAAAGTACCCAAACCCACTTTCAATCTTTTCAACGGAAAAAAACTAAATGTCCAGATGTTTCTATTAGAGCCCAATGCTGGCGTCTGATGGTAATGTTTCAGACTGTTTAAGGTTTTGGTATGCAACTGGAGTGGCGGGGTGATGTCACCTTCGTGATATGTGCCAGAAGTTGGAGAAGGTGTCATCGAGTTTTCTTAGAAACTCAAGACTGACAGAGGAGTGTACATCTACATTCAGGGCATAAATCACGACACTACTTAGAGTGGTGAAAGCAGATTTAAACTGTGTTTGCAGACTTATTAGGTTTGCCTGCCATACACTTCTATGATGTACACCACAGGATATTAGAGAAGCAAAAAGGCCTCAATGGCAGTAAAATGACACCTTGGAAAAAGTTTCAAAAGCTTGAGGTATTGCCAAAGTAATGCTAACAGTGCAATTCTCCACACAAGAATTTGTGTGAGCCAAGGAAGTGGAGGAGATGAAAAACGGTCAACTCTGCCTCCTTTCAAGCTTTTCCATCAGACACAGCTGAGTGAGCTAACTACCTTTTTTTCTTGAGAAGGGAACAGTTATTGAAACGGCTCCAGCGTGGTACAAAATGTCTCCCATAAAAACTCAAAAATGTCCTGTTGCTACTGGTCTGGTCATGCTCAGGTGTCATGTTACGAGTCACTTTCACATTACTCAGCACATCCTTAATTTCTCATGGTATAAACTTCTGAAGTAACTCACCTGGCTACTCTAAAGGGAACGTGTGGATTTCTTCAGTGCTGCTGCAGGGGCACATGGTAAAAGCGTTAAGGCCTAAAGTGCCAGCAGATGTCTATAAAAGAACAAAACCACAAGATACTGAAAGAAAGAAAAGAGCATTTCATGTCTGCATAGGAGGAGAAGTGCACCTCCAGGATACCAGGACGCACCCAGAGTCCTCATTTTATTCCCTTAATGAAAAATCAGTCTGCACTCCCAGCACAGCATCTAATGTGTTTGGTTACCAGCTGTCTGCAACTGTTTGACATGAAGCACACATTACTTTTCCAAACATGTCAAGACTCCAAGTTTTAAACCTCAAATTTCCCAGTCATTTGTAAGTTAAACTCCCTGAAATATGTGGTCTGTACGTCGAGCAGTAAACGGGATGTGTGTGTTAAGAAAATGTCATTGCTCTCACATTCACGGGTGACCAGAAAGGATTGTTGTCCCACTCCAGGAGTGACATCATGACATGACATGTCACTTGTTAGACGCTTTTATCCAAAGCGACTTACATACTCAATACTGTGGACAATCCCCAGAGGAGCAATTTGGGGTGAAGTGTCTTGCCCAGGGACATGGACTTGACCTCAAGAGTGCAGGGGATTACAGCGTCTTCCTCGAGCATTTGCAGGAAACAAAGGCAACAGATGGTCGTATCAACACACATGGTGGGTTTGGTAATCCCTCCTCCTCTCGCTCATGCTGCTGGCAGGGCCAAAAGCCAAAATTCAGACCAGATTTGTGTTAGTTTGGGAGAGGATTCCTGGCACTGACTGTCTTTGGGAGCAGTTATTGTCCTTTCATGGGTTTACAGAAATGAGCGAACGAAAGTTTTTGTTGACCCTCAGAGAGTTGATTAAGTATTTCTCTCATTGAAGTCATGCAAAAACACATGCTATTATCCACATACCTCCACATTGCAATGTTCCAAATTAAGTGTGAGACCCATATACTGTATTTAGGGTGTAACCCCCTAAAATGAAGTAATATTATGACCGTTAAACCCAAGTTATGAGGCATGTTAACAGTTCACCAAATGTTTTCCTCATCTTTTTGAATCACATGAAGGATTCAAAGGCCTTTAGAGATAGAAATCTATCACAAGAAAAAACCATCAAACTACATTTCAATAAAAAAAACGATTTTAATGCAAAATGTAATCTTTCTTACCATGAATGTTTGTTCTCTTTCCTACTGGGGGATTTTTTTGAAATAAGAAACGCTTATTAAATGCCAACTCGTCACTTACTGAAACAAATCTGAATCCACTCAATTACATTTATTTATAAACCGGGGAAAGTACATCTCTCAGCAAATGATGAGTCATGTTTCTTCCTAACATGAACATCTATTCTTCATCCCGAATCAAAGCCTCTAATAAACAGCCCAGAGTACACAGATGTATTCAGTAAATCTCTCCCTCAACACACTCAGTGTTTGAAATGTCATCTAAAAGTTTTATTAATAGACAACAATAACAAGTAGACGGAAGCAAACTGGATTTGAAGCGTCTGATGAAAACATGGCTACTGTAGAGCTTAGTTGAGGTTTACATCAATTGCATGTTATCTATAAAGTCAAATATCAGATTTTAAGGATTGTACTGCATACAACAGGGTCCTTAAAGACCCTCACAGTTCACAATGAAAAATGTCCGTTGTAACAATACCTTTCACTGGAGTATTGTAAATGATGTCATGTTATTTAAGTAGTTGCAGTTTCCTATATGTCTTTTTGTCTGTCTGTCCTCCTTCCCATCCCTGTCCCCCACTCATCCTTAGGGGGAGGGGGGACCGAGACGTCAGACTGACTGGTACCAGATGCATCTTTTTGTCCATCAGAAAAGTGCATTTCTGGATGATGAAGTGCTTTCTTCGACCTAGGTGGAAATCCCCATTGAGGTTTTATTTTCTAAATGTAAGATATGGGACTTTTTCAACTTGGCTGTGCCATTTAACCTGTTAACCCCTGAGCCTGTTTTTCAGGACTCAGGCTCGAAAATGACATTCCCAGAACAAATGACTATATCTTCACTTCTAAAAGGGGTAAATTAATAATCTTTTCTCTCAAAGCAATGAAAAACCTGTGAGTTGGATGTAGAAAAGTAAGAATCAATATAGAATTTTTTTATTTGAAAGTAAATTCAGATTGAACATAGTAAAGTCCGTCCAAAAAACCCCCATTACTTATAGTGAAAACCAGTGGTGTAGTGGGGATTTCTTTACTGGGCGGACGCTATTTTAATTAGGTCATCCCAAACAATACAGGTACAGGTTGTACAGGTTGTACCTTTCTTCTCGTGAATGATATTCTTTTTAGAAAATAAGTCAAATAACGTTGTTTTGCCTGCCATTATAGAGTTGTTTCGTTTGCCTGCCATTATAGAGCTGTTTTGTTTCGTTCAAATACACACTTGCAACTGATAACACTGGCAATGGTTTTATATTTATTAGACTATTCCAAAAAAATCATGCTTCAAAAACGTGGGGGCTCCAAATATGTGGGGGAACGGCGATCCCCCGCGTCCAACGACCACCCTTGAATGATGGGATTGGAGACTAAAAGCTTTAGGAATATATATATATATAACATATAATAAGTACCCTGTATCAAGATTATATGCAAAACAAGTGACATTTGACCTTTTTAGAGAGGTTTAGCTAAAAAAACCCACCTCTGGGTCATTTGGGTGGATTTGGGTGGATTTGCCGTTTCTCTGGAAACCATTGGTCGATTTTGATGATTGACACCTCTTTTTAACCGTTAGAGCCAATAGAATCGAGGGGGAAGTTC